CGTCCGCACTCTAAGACAAACAGGTCAACAGGCTGCACTCGCACGCACCTTGGACACACTGGGTGTTGATGTGTGTTGTGTCCGAAACTAGGATTAATGACCATAACGGGGTTATTGAATTGACTGCACCCGGCTTATCCTCTCGTTATTGGTTGCACGCATCCGGAGACGCGGATGCGGCACTCACGGGTCAAGCTGGTGTAGGTATCATTCTCAGCTCCAAGGCTGAGTCATCATTGGTTGATTGGATTCCGGTGAACAGCCGTTTATGTGCAGCCCGTTTGACGACATCAGCTAAGGTGAATTCGCGAAGTAAAACAAACGCTGTTTGTTTGTGATTTCTGCTTATGCTCCCACGGACTGCAGTTCTAATGCAGTCAAGGACACTTTCCATAACGAACTGAACACGCTGCTACGCAGTGCTACTAGTTCAGATATTATAGTACTTGCAGGGGATATGAACGCACAAGTAGGGCGTCTGAGCTCTTCAGAAGCTCAGCTGGGTGGTAAGTATGAACTTTACGCCGAACGGACTGACAACGGCGAGCGTCTGCTGCAACTGTGTGCGGAGCACCAGTTGTTTCTTACTAGCACTGCTTTTAGACACATTGGGCGCCGAAGTGCCACTTGGCGTCCACCTGTAGCTGGTCAGAAATGGACCCAAATTGACCACATAGCACTAAGTTACAGGTGGCGAGGTTCCATCCTGGATTGCCGCTCGTACTGGAGTACCTGTGTCGACTCTGACCATGCCTTGGTGCGCTGTCGTTTCTCCATGAACTTTGCCGGAAGGCGCACAAAGCGTCTCCCCCGATTGGCAACGGAGAAATTGTCCCAGCCCTCGGTCAGGCAAGCCTATCAAGAAGCGCTGCATAGCGAACTCTCGCTGTCTTGTCCTAATGACACTGAACTTCAGTGGAATAAGATCTCGGCCACTATGCACGACGCAGGAGCATCTGCTTGTGGCACTATCAGTCGTCATCGCACCAGTCACTGGATATCCGAGAGGTCCGTGAACCTTTTGGAAGCTAGTAGGCACCTCCCGGCTGGTTCTGAACACAATGTGACCAGACGGGCTATTAGGCGTGAACTAAAGCGGAGCCTACGTGCTGACAAGGAAGCCTGGTGGACCAGTCGGGCTCAAGAAATGGAGGAGGCAGGAGCAGTAGGCAATTACCGGAAGCTCTTCCAGCTAATACGCACCACTGGTCCGAGAAAACCAGGCGTCAGTGAGACAATCAGGGACTGCGCAGGTGCGCTGATACACAATAAGGAGCGCCGTATGGCTCGTTGGCCTGAGCACTTTGAACATCAGTTCAGCTGGCCCCCTGCTTCCGGACCTCTTCCTACTCAGGTGATGCCATGGACGGTTAGTTTAGAGCCTCCATCGGAGGCCGAGGTCCGAAACGCGATCACAGCCCTCAATCGTTTCCGTGCCGCTGGCCCGGATTCCCTACCACCTGCACTATTTAAGGATGGAGGTGAGGTCCTCTGCAAAGCACTGACATCCCTATTCGAACGTATCTGGAATGAAGAGTGTCCCGACTGATTGGAGCGAATCGATTATAGTGGCAATATACAAGAAGGGCAGTCGCACAGACTGTGCGAACCACAGGGGTATTAGCCTAACGCCAGTTGTGACAAAATTACTGGCCTCGATTATCGTTCGTCGCCTCACTGCAGAACGGGAATCACGGATTAGAGAAGAGCAGGCCGGTTTTCGCCCAGGACGTGGCTGTATAGACCATATATTTACTTTGCGGCAGGTGCTAGAGCAGCGCCACGCATACCGCAGACCGACAATAGCTGTGTTCCTCGATTTCAAGAGTGCGTTCGATTCAGCCGATCGATCGATTCTGTTCGAAATACTTGCGCGGAAAGGTGTTCCCACGAAATATGTGAGCATCCTTCGTGCTCTATACTCGAACACTACAGGCCGCGTCAGGGTCTATGGTGCCCTATCGGATAGCTTTTCGACTACAAGTGGCGTTCGTCAGCGTTGTCCGATTTCCCCATTTTTGTTCAATTTCGTTGTGGATTCTATCATGGAGTGTTCCCTTGCGGAATCTCACGATGTAGGTGTTGAAGTGCTGCCTGGTGAACATTTAGTTGATCTAGATTATGCGGACGATATCGTCTTGCTTTTCGACAATGTTGAGGCGGCACAACCAACCCTGAATAGCCTATCCAGAGTGGTCCCATTATTTGGTATGCACTTCGCACCTTCAAAGTGCAAAGTGTTGCTGCAAGACCACCAGTCACTTGATGACCCATTGACGCTTGCTAACGTGGAACTCGAGGTGGTTGATCAATTCACTTATCTTGGCAGCTCCATCAGCAATGATGGGCGCATAGAAATTGACGTGAGCTCACGCATTGCAAAGGCCAGGGCTGCCTTCTTGAACCTGCGTCATCTTTGGCGACAGAAGGGAGTTTCCCTTCGTCTGAAAGGGAGTGTATACAAGGCCACAGTGAGGGCCGTTCTGCTCTATGGTAGTGAAACTTGGCCCCTTCGGTCTGAAGATCTGAGGCGCCTTCAAGTCTGATCATCGTTGTTTGCGAAGCATTGCTGGTGTCGGATGGCACCAGCGTGTCCGCAACGATGATGTGCGTGGGCGAGTACTAGGTGGTGATGATCATGCTAGCTCCCTAGAACAACAGATAGCACTGAATAAGTTACGTTGGCTCGGGCACGTGCTACGCATGCCTGGTCACCGCTTACCTAGGAGGGCCTTGTTCAGTCTACCAGGCTCGAGGTGGACAGAAGTTGACTTGGCAGCGGGAACTGAAGTCACTGACGACCAAACTGGGTGCCGTTGGTCCGTCTCGCCTTCCGGGTTGGAGTCCACGTGACTCACCTTGTGCTTGGCTCGAGACTTTACAGGACATGGCTCGCAACCGACACCAGTGGCGCGTCTGCTGCCGTCTCCTAATCGGGTTGCCTGTTTACGGTGTGTTTGGGGCTGAGTTATCCGCGGGGTAATGGCTGATTATGACGCGTGGCAGTGAAAGCCGCAAGGAAGCTGTCTCGCCGATGCCGCCTTATCTTTGCACGATAGCTAGCTGTTTGTGACGGTATGTTGTCTACACAAGGTGTAGGCGCCTTGACCCTGAATGTTTGCTTAGGGCATTGAGGTTTTCAGGTAAGTGCCCCTTCTCTCTCTCTTCTTATTCTTTATTTCATAGGTCCTCATGGTTGTATGGCAGCGAAGCATCAGTTCAAATGGCTGATTTACTGCTGTTGATGATGATGATGATTATTATTATTAGGGTGACCGGAGTGTGGATGGAAAAAGAAGGGGATGCCAGACAATGGTTTGGACAAGGAGAATAGGTGCTGTTACTTTGAAGATAACTTCGGTTTTCCCTTCTCGACTCCTGAGTCGGCGTCCTAAAGACAATGAACACGTTTGATTTGCAACACTTTCTAGCACGACAGATGGTCGACCTCATTGATGTTTATGTTGTTACTTTCTTGGCCTCTCTGACTCTGTCCGCCTTTCCTTTTCACAATTTTTTAACCCAATTTAAGTTGTACTGTAGCACAATTTCTGAGTTATTTTTTCTCTTCTAGTTGATGTGTAGAATGACGATGGTTGTGACCCGGGGCCTTGCAACAAGTTTGGTTTGCCCCCTATCTTTTGGACATTTACTGCTTCTTGAAGTCTGATAGGGCCTTCGTTGGAGTCGGTGTCGGTTTATCCACTGATTGAAGAACACTGTTGGAACATCATCTAGCCTTATGACCTTCACTGACGCATTTTAACTCCTACGGGACGTATGCTTACCCAGTCCTACAAAATACCAACGCATTGGGAGGTTCGGTGTCCTTTTTATTCTCGTACTATATAGCTCACTAGGTGCCACTGACTGGTGACAGCCGTACGTCTCTGTGTTGATGCAAGAGATGCTTTATGCCGAGCTTCTGACATTACTTTAACCCAGTTGCGGTCCGGTTACTGTTCCATGTTGATCCGTCCTATCCCCTTTAGGCTCGAAGTAGCTTCGTTCTGACCCGTCCAGCTAATGGTCGACCCGTGGCCTTAAGGATTACAAGCCTGTTTTGCAATATGAGGCTGCGGGTTCGAGCCTGTGTAGAGGCCGGACGACCCTCGCGGTATCCTTAGCCCATGTGCGGTCGATGGTGGTTTCGCGGCAGCGAAACGTCGGTACTGCGTACCCGCTTGCTGCTGATGCCTTATTGTCCGCAACTAATCACGTTTTCGCAGTTGCAACTAATCGACTGTAATGTCACTGACCACTCAAGATTGGACACAATGTGTTCTGTTCCACATGGGACTTGAATCGTGTTGGTAACAGTATGAACACCAGTCGGTTATCTATTTCAGGCACCCACTCATATCTTCAAGTTTCACTTCTCCTCTGCTCTATACATGTCACCAAGCTAGGCTTTCTGACTCCATCTATCTTGTTAATCCACTGTTCATCAGTCTCGACAATGTTGAAGGTCTCTCGGCGAGTTTTGAAGGAATTATTTCCGCCGATGTTAATTAAAAACCTGATTATCTTAAATAACTGATAATCCGTGAAGTGCGCCATTTCTGCGTTTCACTTAGTGTGGATAATGTACTCATAGTGCTCTATTTCTACAACAAAGTAAATGTTAGGATTAAGTAACAGTTTCACTCCGTTTGACTCCATGTTACGTCTTCGAGGTGCAACCGGTGCCAATCCGGAGGAATGATTTCGGACAACGGCAGTATCTCTTCTCGCCGATGAGCTTCTCACGTTTATCTTACTTGATGCTATGGGTGCACGCACGGGGGCCATCAGTTTTGTTTCTATTTTCTGTGCGGTCTTCCTCTAGCGGTCTCCTCCAGCATTTGAAAGTTTAACTACCGTGTAGGTCAATTGCATCCCCTCCACTTTTACCGATAAAATTTTACTGCTCATCACCGGTGTATAAGAAAAGCAGCTGTTTTCTACGCACCTCTCACAAGTACATGAACCACCCTTGTCCTGTTCCGTGCTTTTTGCAGGTGTTTCTCCGATGGGTGAGGCTGATCAACCAATTCCATATCAGTTGACTCGGCCCGCTGGACTTCCTGCACAATTAACCGACCGTAGGGCCATTCGTTTCGACTATGGTCCTGCGCACATTACTTCCGTTCAGTTTGAGCCACTTTACTCGGTGACGCATCGGACACTTCCCTTTTCTTACCAAAACTCCGAAAGGAATCCGCCAATATTCGGATGTCGACGTCTTTTGGTCAGTCACATGTACGCACCCGTCTTCCTATTCGATCTGTCCGAGTCCGATACTTCTCCGGAACCTCAGGTAGTTTACCGCGCTTTGTTTCTTTACGCCTACAACAATTTTGCTTGTCTACTTGGGAATTTAGTCTGTGCACGTCGATTGTCGCTCACACATATCTTGCTCCTTCTTAGGGGCATGTCTGCTTCAAGATAGGCTCCATTTAAAGGGTCTGGGAATGAGGCGTTGATTTCTTCATTGAAGTGTATATATATATATATATATATATATATCAACAAAAAGCGATATATATATGCTTGGCGGCATCCGGTTTCAGATTTGCCTGTCACTGTGGCCAGCCACAGCACGCCTGCGCCTACAGAAGCACCATGGGTGGCTTGTGCTGCACTACCCACAGTTCCATCCACACACCCTATATCCAGTGTAAACCCGAAGGAATAAGACCAGGAGGCATGTGGATGGGAGCCACGTTTCATCAACGGAGCCGGCCCACACTCCTTCACAAGCACGCTGTATTTGGGGAATCAAGTGCACACAAGGCGGTGGCTGGACCGTAGTCCGCTCCACACTGAGTGCATGGAACCACTCTTTGATCCTAACACGGTCACAAAGACCGTGCACCTCGTCCCCTCCAGCAACGACCAACTGTCTCCTGGAGGTAGTATGGACGAGGTAGCGGGTAATAGACAGGTAGGCACCTTGTCAACATGCACATCAAGCGCAGCCACACCTGGGATGTCAAACAACAGCCAATCACTCAAAATACCGATATAGAATAAAGTTAACGCATATGACGACATAACTCTTCGCTAAATGAGCATATAGAACGAATTGGTTATGAGTGAATCCGAGTTATTTAAAAAAGACCACGCGATACAATTACGCAAGTTGACCACAATTTGCATGAGCGACGTGTGCAAGTTGGAAGAAGATTAACAAGTGCGCAGAACAAACCAACTAAAATGTAACGAATATTATCCACATTAAAAAGCCCTAGTCTAAGTGTAAGTTGGTTTAGCCCAACTGCGATGAAGAAGCATCATGAATGCAACCTCAGCCTCAGCATGGGGCATCATATATATATATATATATATATATATATATATATATATGTGTGTGTGTTTGCGACGAATTTTGCGCATCCGTTGGGGCGACAGAGTTGCTAACACGGAAGTGTTGCGCCGTAGTGGGATGTATGCAGTGGACTGCATACTTTTATTGAGACACCTGAGATGGCTCGGTCATGTGAGCCGTATGGATTCGACGCGGATACCGAAACAACTCTTATACCGTCAATTGAGTATTGGGAACCGGCATGTGGGGAACCAAAGTTACGTTACCAGGACATGATCCAAATGAGCCTCTCACGTTCTAATCTTGATTGCAGATTATGGGAATCGAAGGCGGTTGATCGGCGTGCATGGCGCGATCTAATCACGAAGGCAGTTGTCGAAGGGCGGGAGAAAGACCTCATACATGCAAAGAAGAAGCGGCAAGCACCGATGGATTGTACTCCATCGACATCGAGCGCATGGTGCTGTAGCACGTGCGGTCGCGAGTGCCTGAGTGAAGCAGGCCTAGTGAGCCATGAGAGAGGCCACTCGGGACCACTACCGAAGCGACGACGGGTCCTGCAGGGAACGTAGGCAGAGCGGGCGCAGCGTCTGTAGTCACACTGCATTCAATTTACTAACCGCGTGCTTGCACGCGGAGTGTTTTTATTTCAGGTAGTAGGTTTTCAATTTTGTCCTAATACCTTTCTCATATAAATGCCTACCTATACTCTCTTCTATAAACTTGCACACGTCGCTTAAGCCAATTGTAGTTAATTTCGATAACATTTTCGTGTTTGTGGCATTTCCATAGAATATACTTTCCGACCTCGTGAACTTATCTCGGATTCGTTTGTAAATAACTTATTTCAGATGCTCATTAATATCGTGTTTATGTCACCGTTTCCTTATGCATTGCTCGATTTATTTTCTTTGCTATCTTTCTCTCAAGTGATTGGCTGTTGCTTGATAACCCCGGTGTGGTTTCGACTGATGTGTATGTTGACAAGGTGCCTACCTGTCTATTACCCACTACCTCGTCCATACTACCTCCAGGAGACAGTTGGTCGTTGCTGGAGGGGACGAGGTGCACGGTCCTTGTGACCATGTTAGGATCACAGAGTCCTTCCATGCAGTCAGTGTGGAGCGGACTACGGTCCAGCCACCGCCTTGTGTGCGCTTGATTCCCCAAATACAGCGTGCTTGTGAAGGAGTGTGGGCCGGCTCCGTTGATGAAACGTGGCTCCCATCCACATGCCTCCTGGTCTTATTCCTTCGGGTTTACACTGGATATAGGGTGTGTGGATGGAACTGTGGGTAGTGCAGCACAAGCCACCCATGGTGCTTCTGTAGGCGCAGGCGTGCTGTGGCTGGCCACAGTGACAGGCAAATCTGAAACCGGATGCCGCCAACCATATATATATATATATATATATATATATATATATATATATATTTTTACGGCCTGTTAACAGACATTGGGCCACCAGAACCACTGCAGAAGGAAAAAGTGGCAAAGTTAGAAACACGAACTGCCGGAATAAAAAAGGAAAACGAGTTTTTGGTTTTACACACGCCATTTTGAAAATTTTTGTTTTCGTTTTGTTAGTTGTTTATGTTGAAGGAGTGCTATTATAGCAGAACAAGGTTGACGCCACTGATGTCTGTTGCGGGTCATGACGTCCAATGTTTCCAACCACAGAGAGTCGGCATCTCGTGGTCCCCAACCTAGAAGATGGACTGCTCCGACTGCCGCCAAACGTGAGGTTGCCTTCTTCATGCTCCTTCTCCACGCCATTGGCTGTCCACTACGGCACTTTTTTCAATCGCTCCATGGGATTTCAAATAGCGCTCGACGTGGAAGGCGATGGGCTGGCATGCGCAAAACGTGCCTGAGCCAGCGCATGCGATGTCAGAGAATAACGTTCTGAAGACTGGCACCACTCGTTCCGAGCACGCCCTCTCGCACCTCTGCGTTGCTTACGTGGTGTTTCCACCACACCCGAGCAATTCTTCGTAGACAGCGATTGTCGAAGGCTGACAGCCGCTTCATGTCTTCCGAGCGAATAGGCCAAGTCTCACAGCCGTTCAAGACTACCGCACGGCCGGAAGCATTTACACCCTGCCCTTGAGCTTGAGGCTAACATCACGACGACACCATAGGTGTCTCAGTTTGATGAATGCAAGGCGGGCCTTTGCAATCCGTTGTGAGACTTCATCTCCAACACTGCCACCAGCTGTGATGCAACTTCCTAGATGAGTAAAGCAAGCGACTTGCTCCAGAACATGTGCAGCAATGATGAGCGCGGGTTCAGGCACCTGCCAGTCCTGGAGTAGCGTTTTACATTTTTCCGGAGTGAAGCATAAGCCGTACTAGACGCCTCCATCGTTAAGCGGTCCAAAGCGCTCTGGACAGATTGTGGGTCGTCCCCCAGCAAGCGATATCGTCGGCGTAGTCCAAGTCCGTGATTCTCTTCAGAAAGTAGCTCAACACCTCAGTCCTGGATACCTTCCAGTGCTCTTTGGACAACATCTCCGATGGCGAAATTGAAGAGGAAAGGTGAAATAAGGCAACTTTGGCGGACACCGCTGGTCACAGCAAATGAAGAAGAGAGCGTGCCGTAAGTCCTGACTTTGCCCCACATGTGGCTGTAACGTTCTTTCATCATGGTTACAGACTTGTCCAGCACACCTTTCTTCAGTAAACAGTTCCACAACGCAGATCTATCTACTGAATCAAATGCCGCTCGGGTGTCCAAAAACACTTCGATTGTTGACCGCCGGTGGATGTGACGAACTTCGAGAAGTTGGCGAAGCGTGAAGATCTGGTCGATGCAGCCGCGGCCTGGATGAAATCCGGCTTGTTCTTCTCGGGAAACTCCTCTCCAGTCGTTGAAAGCCTGCGAGGTAGGACAGAGACGAAGATTTTGGATGCGACAGAGATTAACGAGATTCCGCGGTAGTTGCAGCAATCATCACGGGATCCTTTCTTGTGAATCGGAACAATGACCGATTCTCCCCATGAGTTCAGAACCTTCTCCCCAGTCCAAACTTACGTGAACAGCGACAGGATTTCGGTGACAAGTAGACTCCCCCCATATTTGTATAGAGCTGGTGCTAGGCTGTCGGGACCCGGAGCCTTGTGGCGTTTCAAAGATTGGATTGTATTTCGGATCTTTGCTTCATTTGGTGGTTCTGTGGAGACGGGCCAAACATCATCCATTAGGGCTGGAGGTGTCACAGGGGGCTGTGTTGGGTGGTTAAATTGAAGAGAGAAATGCTCTGCCTAGCAACCCAATCGACAACGAAGGTTAGTGATCTTCGTGCCGTCTGATTCGCAATTCATCTGGCTGATAGCTTGGGAATTGCAACTGGTGGCCCAGATGATGTAAAGTAGACGACAGAAGTTACCAGCTGATGCAGCGGCTTCCATCACATCAGCTGGTTTTGACCACTAAGATTCACGATCAGAGCGAAGGTTTGTTTTCAGTTGTTGCGTAATAGACCGGCGGTGTTCGCTGTAAACTGCGCCAGCAGGCGCCGCCTGTCGGCGATCCAGCAATTCCGAGGATCTTCCTGAGATCCAGCTTTTGGGAGTGGAGCGAGCGAGGCCACAGCTGGACAAACCGGCCGACAGCAAGGCTTGTTGCAGACTTGACCAGTGTTGATCAACATCCACAGTGTGAGAGAGCGAGATTTTCACGAAGCTTTTATTGACACCCTTTCTTCACCATTGGGTCCTCCAACTTGTAGGTGTTCAGTCGGGTGTGTTTTGACCTAGGCGAACCACCGAAATGCATGCAAACAGTCGCATATACCAGTGCATGACCGGTATCGACGCATGTTGACCAAAACGATTGGCAGTCGCGTACGCTGCCGCGCCACCTGCGACTTCTGGCTATATGGTTAATATGTAACCAGCGCTGGGTTGATGATGGGGGCTGCCAAGTGGCGTACTGGATTCCAGGATGACGAAAGCTGGTGTTAGAGAGGAATAGTCGATGATGGGCA